AAGTCACCCAATGGATGATAACCACTAAATTGTACCACGTAGCTTCTGTACACTTACGTTCAAACATCGATTGAGAACATGTTAAAATATACATGCAGCAGTTATCGGCGTTAATACCGCATAATAACTCAATTCAGAATTGGTTAATAGCTGAGGAAACTACTAAACCTTGCATCAAATATTTATTCTAAACGACCATTAAAGTCACCTGTTTGATCGTCAGGGCTTCGTTAATAGGTGCCCTGCGTGTAGTGCGTATTCCCACGCAGACTGACTGAACTTCTTCATTAATTTACAAATTTTCCAAAAATAAAGTAATACACATTAAGTTACTTTCCTTCTATAATAGTTTCGCATTACCTATACCAGTTTCCCAATATGAGGAACCACTTATATGGGAAACTGGTATAATGTTGTTATGATTGTTGACTGTGAGGAATCGTTCCAGGGGAGTCTCCGAAATGAAATCAAGGGGAAAAACAAACAAAGAATTTATTTGCTTACAAACAAAATTTTATAAATTTATAAGCGAGTTGTGGTGGCTTGGTGTATCGCTCGCATTCGTGATTGCCATACATACCACTAACTACACGTTGAGGCGAGCCAATTTTCATTTGGGATGTGATTCACTAACGGTAAAATTAACGTGCAGGTTATCAGTAGAATACGTTATTTTGCCCATACCAAATAACGTAAAATAGAGTTTTTTGTGGCAACGTTAAGTTTGACTGATACAACACAGGGCTGAATATCGTGTAGTCACAAGGTAGCTTTTAACATTGAGTACTTATTCCACTAGCAATTATCCAATTGGGGTTTGCAAATACCTACATCTGAAGGAGTTAAAGCATGTTCTTTCAACATTTATTTAGGTCCGTGAAGTTGGCAATGCCCATTTCACCAAACTTAAAATTGTTGTAACCATATTTTTGTGCTAATTTTGTGCTATTTATTGCTGATAAACAAAAATTTTGTGCTTTTGAATTTACCGAGTTATTCGAAAAAACAGATGGGTACGGCCAACTTCACTAAGCGATACCCATGTAACAATTTCGAAAAACTTATACTAATTAATTTTGTGCTAATTTTGTGCTATTTATTGCTGATAAACAAAAATTTTGTGCTTTTGAATTTACCGAGTTATTCGAAAAAACAGATGGGTACGGCCAACTTCACTAAGCGATACCCATGTAATAATTTCGAAAAACTTATACTAATTAATTTTGTGCTATTTATTGCTGATAAACAAAAATTTTGTGCTTTTGTTTACCGAGTTATTCGAAAAAACAGATAGGTACGGCCAACTTTACTTAGCGTTACCCAAGTAATGATTTGGTTATTTATTGGCGATTATTACATAATGTTCTGCTATAATCTTGGTTATAATACTGAGTGAGCAACTATTACTTGTATAATCAAGACAGTACGAACGACTAGCCGCATGCTGCCATAACCAACGATTTGTTTTGGTTTGTGGTACCACATTATTTAGTAGTAGAGTAGTTACATCTTCTTTAAAAAAAGATTTTTGGTTCCAAAAAAGATTCTATGCGACGACAGAAAAAAAATGCACAAAGAAACTGTAGTAAACGTTCAGGTGACAGCATATCCTAATCGAAAGTGTTTGTTGACAAGCTCATACAGATTAGATCTTTTATATGTGTACTACATCGTCATAGCTGTTTTTTCAACAACTTTACTATTCAACACTACGTCGATGTCATTATTAACGTCACGTCTTTATGTAGCACACATATCGGAAAGGGTTGAAGTTCGGAATTTGGTACAATGCTACAGGCCGTGTGCCGTTGAAGATTTTTCGTAATCCCATTGAAAATTTTTAATAGCTGGAAAAACGAGGAAACTATTACGAAATATCATATTCGTATATAAAATATTTATTCATAGGAAATAATTTCTCTTACAGATGATACCACAATTTATTAACTAAATTATAGTTGTGACTGTTCATTGTTGTGAATGTCAATAAATTTAAGATATAGAAAATGTTTCTAAAAGAAAATAATATTTAATTAAAAACTACCTACTTAGTAAATGCCAACAATTAATTCCCATTCAAAGACAAAATTAAAATATCGGGACAAAGGGGATTGAATGATAACTAAAATTACATTAGACTGCATAAATGTGGTTCAAAGGAAATATTATCTAATATAATTTTTACTCGAATTTTTATTTTATAACTTTGTACCCAAGTTCTTACATGAACAGTGATTCATTATAATTTTTAAATTTTAGAACGGAATGCGCTGTGTATAGATTTAAACATAATTTATTCTAGAGATTAGAGATTCCTTACACAAGTTCTTTTGTACGATGGTTCAGAAGGGCCACCGCCCAACTTTTTTTCATGAAAATCTTGCACTTCGTGATTTAATCTCGCACTTCGTGATTTAATCTCGCACTGCATGATTTCATCTCGCACTGCATGAATTTATCTCGCACTGCATGATTTCATCTCGCACTGCATGATTTTATCTCGCACTGCATGAATTTATCTCGCACTGCATGATATTATCTCGCACTGCATGATTTTATCTCGCACTGCATGATTTCATCTCGCACTGCATGATTAAATCACGCAGTGCGAGATAAATCATGCAGTGCGAGATGAAATCATGCAGTGCGAGATAATATCATGCAGTGCGAGATAAATTCACGCAGTGCGAGATAAATTCATGCAGTGCGAGATAAATTCATGCAGTGCGAGATAATATCATGCAGTGCGAGATTAAATCACGAAGTGCAAGATTTTCATGAAAAAAAGTTGGGCGGTGGCCCTTCTGAACCATCGTACAAAAGAGCTTGTGTAAGGAATCTCTAATCTCTAGAATAAATTATGTTTAAATCTACACAGCGCATTCCGTTCTAAAATTTAAAAATTAAAATGAATCACTGTTCATGTAAGAACTTGGGTACAAAGTTATAAAATAAAAATTCGAGTAAAAATTATATTAGATAATATTTCATTTGAACCACATTTATGCAGTCTAATGTAATTGTAGTTATCATTCAATCCCCTTTGTCCCGATATTTTAATTTTGTCTTTGAATGGGAATTAATTGTTGGCATTTACTAAGTAGGTAGTTTTTAATTAAATATTATTTTCTTTTAGAAACATTTTCTATATCTTAAATTGATTGACATTCACAACAATGAACAGTCACAACTATAATTTAGTTAATAAATTGTGGTATCATCTATAAGAGAAATTATTTCCTATGAATAAATATTTTATATACGAATATGATATTTCGTAATAGTTTCCTCGTTTTTCCAGCTCTATTAAAAATTTTCAATGGGATTACGAAAAATCTTCAACGGCACACGGCCTGTAGCATTGTACCAAATTCAACCCCCTTTCCGATATGTGTGCTACATAAAGACGTGACGTTAATAATGACATCGACGTAGTGTTGAATAGTAAAGTTGTTGAAAAAACAGCTATGACGATGTAGTACACATATAAAAGATCTAATCTGTATGAGCTTGTCAACAAACACTTTCGATTAGGATATGCTGTCACCTGAACGTTTACTACAGTTTCTTTGTGCATTTTTTTCTGTCGTCGCATAGAATCTGTATCCGTGATCACCACTTTTTTGGAACCAAAAATCTTTTTTTAAAGAAGATGTAACTACTCTACTACTAAATAATGTGGTACCACAAACCAAAACAAATCGTTGGTTATGGCTGCATGCGGCTAGTCGTTCGTACTGTCTTGATTATACAAGTAATAGTTGCTCACTCAGTATTATAACCAAGATTATAGCAGAACATTATGTAATAATCGCCAATAAATAACCAAATCATTACTTGGGTAACGCTAAGTAAAGTTGGTCGTACCTATCTGTTTTTTCGAATAACTCGGTAAACAAAAGCACAAAATTTTTGTTCATCAGCAATAAATAGCACAAAATTAGCACAAAAATATGGTTACAACAATTTTAAGTTTGGTGAAATGGGCATTGCCAACTTCACGGACCTCATTTATTTAAACGTAAAAACAAAACCAAGTAACTAACAGCACAAGCACAATGAAATGATCAAATTTCATTTGTTTTTTTGGGTAGGTAACCTAATATAGATGTGCTTTTTAATTTATTAAATATAACTCATTTTCTGTTTATTTTTCAATTTCCATAAGGTACAATTGACGGAAAAATATTGTAACCATCTCGTGTGTTAATTATTAGTGAAAATCTCGTCTTTGACTGTCAATTGTCAATCATTAAGTAACGCACTTATTGGTTAAATAACTATTAATATACATTCATCTTAATACTATAATTTATATTGACCCAACAGGTTTTCTTTTTGGTCAGTTCCTTTTTTTCCCATTTTCAAAATTAATTTTTGCAATGTAATTTTTTTAGATTAAATTTCCGTTTACACATGGACTCGTTTTATCTCAATACTGTACTTGACCTTCACTATAACAAGCAGTACATTGTGACGTTTTAACACACCCTAGTACGAGGTCCTATTATTTAGATGGTTTTGTCTGGACTAGACGATCCTGTTCCTTGTGGATCAGTTAGTTTGGGTGAGAAAATTTAAAGGCCGGCTCAATGTGGATTTGAATTTTGAAAATCTTGATCCCGGAACAAGGAAAGGATTGGAATTTGAAAAACCACAATGGCCAGCTAAAACTGTGTATATTCGACTACCGCAACCCGTTACTCTACGACACACCAAAAAGCAGGCAATCCAACATGGGATGTTAATTGCAACATCGAGATCATAAAAGAGCTTAATTCATCTTTTTCGTAGTAGTCTTAAAAGTCTCCTGATAGCTTATTCATGAAGGATGCACATAGGAAGCAGAAGGCGACAAATGTTTTTATTATGCTATTACCTATAGTGATCCGTGTTCAAAAGCAACAGCAAACAGCATTAGCTAAACGATAGTGAATTTTGTAGTGACACTAAATTGCAGTATTGTATATTTTACACAATTATTGTAGTTTTCTTTGCACCTTAAAAACGGTCTATATTGAATCTCACCCAACACACATTTGTTCCTATTTCCCTTGGCGGCTCTCCAACAGAGTGTAGTAAGAAAAAGAGGCTTTTAGGATCTGGAAATAATGAAAATAGTTAGGAGGTCTCAATTTTCGTTCGCAACTTACTGTAACTGCTGCAACCATCGTAAGAGGTGCAAATTGTCCAATCGTAAATGAAACGGACCTCTGAGTTCTTGCTATACATAAAATTAAACATTTTTGAAATGCCAAGTTGGTTCCGATAAAATCAATTTCGTAAAATGAATAAGCGAAAGCTTCATTCTCCGTAATCACCTCCTGTGTAAAATAGCAGTCGACGAAAAACAGTACCAAAGGTCCAATGATATAGTACAAAAGCTGTAAATGTTCGGTGGTAAATTGTTGCATCTGGCGAAAAATTTTATTTTAGCAGAGATTGCACCGTATATTAGTTTACTTACATTTGATATGCGTAACATAGCGAGACAAGCAAAAAACGACATGGTAATAAAACTAGCCAGCACACATTTGTTAAATATCAATTCAGTTTCGCTCGCAACTTCGATAACGAAATTATAATGCTCGACAACTCTTTTGAATTGCCTTTGAAAGTATACAAATGGTATATCATGTTGATACACTAACCCCCTCTCCAATTGGTTCTCGGTGCAAAATTCCTCCTTTGCATTTGCGATTAGCTGTTGAACGCTTAACTTCAGATATTTAAAGTGGAGTTTCAATTGTATCATGATGCTTATCTTCATGGTGTCCATTACCACGTATTCGAAACACAAGAAAGTGACTACCGTGAATTGCAAAATTAAACAACCCGTAAAGCTGTAATTCATGGCCCATCCAGGCAACGAACCAAATGGTAGGCTTTCGTGCGAGTGTTGCAAATACCAAGGGAGTATGGTTACTATTAACATGATAGGAACTAGAGGAAACATGATGTAACTCTTCAACACTTCGATATAGCATATTATAGAATCAATGAAAATGAACACGTACCACTTTTGATATCCCCTTTTCAATTTCTTTGGAAACGTTGGTAGCTCTGTACGCTTTGTATGACGATTTTTCCAACAAAACCAAGAGATCGGCGAGTTTCGATCTGTATATTCTCATGATAGTGCTGCGTGGAGCACCTTAAAAATATTTGTGAGCATAGTAGAAAAGTAAATGCTCCAAAATACAATTTGCAATTCCAGCGGCGTAAATGAGATCTTTAATGTCGTTATCTAAACTCCACTTTCTGGCGAAGTATAGAGTGCAGTACGCATAAACCGCTAACAAGACAGTGTAGGAAGCAATAATAACACGATTTTTTACATCCTTCGTTAATATCAACCCGGATAATTTTGCATACCTTCTTAGTCCGTCAAAGTATTGTGTTTGCTCATTATTTGCCATTTTAGTTCTCGATCATAAGTCACCGAAAGGATGATACCGACTATAATTTATGCTACGCAGCTTTTATACACTTACATTCAAATATCGATTGAGACAATGTTAAAATATACATGCAACAGTGTCGGCGTTGATACCGCATAATAACACAATTCAGAATTGGTTCTTGTTATTAGGTGACGAAAATACTAAACCTGGCATCAAACATTTAGATATTCTAAACTACCATTAAAGTCACCTGTTTGCATCGTCAGGGCTTCGTTAATAGGTGACCTGAGTACTCCCCCGCAGACTTGCTGATCCTTGTATTACTCCAAAGAATGAGAAAAAAAAACATTTAATTGCCTATAACTTCTTTATTTATAAATTTTCTACTTTCTAATTGAGTGAAATGAATACCATGTGGAAAGTAATGGGCTCCGTACACAAATAACAGAGAGCAACACGAGCAGTGAAGCTAGGACAAGTTGTAACCATTCCTCGACTCCCTTAGTCCTTACCCAAAAAAACTGCAGAAATAAATCGGTGTTGCGTTGCGTTCGCCTACGGTCGCTAGTGCCGCGCATCATGAGCTCTCTGCCGCCTTCTCCGGTAAAAGCAGTACATCTACGCCGGGGAAGCTTTTTCCCGTAGAAGACCCCATTCCAAACGCGCCCTAAGCACAGACAACGATCCACGCCGTGTCGTTCGACGACAACGCCATTGATATATGTATGCAATCTATAAATAATTGTAACAGTTTTAAAATAATATTAACATTTCTGTCCATATTTCAATTTCCACCTGTATATTTTCTAAATTTTCTCGAGTCATTGAATGGGACCAATTTCTAGTTACTTTTGCATTGCTGTGTTTGCCCCTCCGATTTAACTTGTCTTCTTGTCGTTAGAGGACATTTAGTTTCTTATGCTTTTTTTATGTTAACCATTAAATTACCATAAGTTATATGGTCATGTATCAAATACTGCACTACTACTCAGAGATCCGTAGCTTTGGCTTGGGTAAAATTTCGAAAGTTGTGGCGTCTTATGTAATAATAATTAACGGAAGCATCTTTAATCAATCGATTACCCGTTGTGCCGACAATTTGTTTTTGGACATTCGGTTACAATTTTTCCGAAATGGACTTTTAATACGGAAAACTCAAGCATCCCAAATCGTAAGTGTTTTCTTGTGCACGAATTGAGGTTACCGATGTTCTTTTCTCTATTGTAGGGGAATAAATACCGACCATATAGTAAATTTTGGAGTCATTTGGGGCGTATCCAGTTCTTTTCTTTTGTGTACTCTCTGACTAAGGTTAGCATTATTGTGGGTTATAACGTAATCGTAATTAGGTTACTTTTTAGAGTCTTTGCAAGGGGGTTAATATTCAGCTGAATCCGGGGAACCTACTGCAGATGAGTGCTGTAAAAACCCCGTAAAATCATTAAGATCTGAAGGGCCGAACGTAGATCGTGAGAGAAATATACCTGGAGCACAAGCTTTGTTACCTCCGTCGGAGTTATTTTTGGTTACACCAGGAACCTGTGGAATTGCCGACAAAATTTATCGTTAGCGGTAACATACTTTCAATTTTTTTTTGGTTTGTTAAGACTCCTCCGAACAGTTTATTTGACCCACATAATATGTAAGTGGAAATTTTTACGTGTAATTAGTATGCTTGATCTTTAGGACTGTTTAATTATCAATTCCGAATTACTCTAGAGAAGTAATCACTTGTAAGGTACAGAGCTCGTTACTAGGATTAACTTCAACACCTCAAGCTACCGATTATAGTACATCATTTCAATTTTAATTTCTAGTAATTATACTAGTCGTTGCTTAGCGGTACGAGGTGTCACATAACTTCAGGGGTTGTTGGTGGGTTAAATTTTGTGTTTGCATACTCTTTGATTAATAAACGATCATTTTTCTTGTGGGTCAATTGTTGACTCTTCTTATACTGAAGCTACCTTTCGTAATTCCGGTGGCTGCAGATAAAATTGTTAATGGAATTAGGTGGCCCCTGAAAGACTTGAGTCAAAGCCCCAGTAAGTATTAGTGGCGGAGATTTACTTGGAACCTTTTATAATGATATTTTGTCAAAGTTTTTAATTTAAGTACCTACTACCCTGAGTAAGAGCATATCTCTCTACGCTGTCTAACGGAGCTAGTTGGCCGATGAGCGGCGTGTGTTGATTTCAAATTACACATGGTATTTTATAGTGCCCTGCATTCTAAGCTTTCGCGTTATATAATGTATAATATCTCCCCGTTATGTAAATAGAATAAACGAACACGCCATCAAACAAACCTGTTGCATCCAACGTGATTCAAGATGTCCGACACCGAAGGATCGCAAGACGTCACGACGCGCCTGGTAGTACACCGCGTCCAGATGAAACTTCCACCATTCTGGCAGGCAGACCACGAAATGTGGTTCGCGCAAGTAGAGAGCCATTTCAGAATAAGCGGAATCACCCCGGACGAGACGAAATATGGGTACGTAGCCAGCAGATTCGAAGCGAAATACACCTGCGAAATCCGAGACATGCATACCCAGCCACCGACCGAGAATAAGCACGACAGGTTGAAGACCGAACTCGTACGAAGACTAGGTGCTACCCAGGAACAGAAGCGAAGACCTGCCGCCGCTCCCATGTAAAGAAAACCCGTCAAATGAGCAAGCCAGAGGTTAGAGGTGGTACGTGATTCGGAAACGATTCCCTGCCATTTATAAATAATCGAAAAAACTTCCAGCATCGAATTCATCATCGCCCCCGGAGCCGAAGTTTACATCTTTCCACTACATCACACCAAGGAAACACGGAAAGACACCGAATGTCTCTACGCCGCCAATGGGTCAACCATAAACACATACGACACACTCTACTTGAATCTTGATCTGAAATTGTGAAGAAGATATCCATGGAGATTCTATTTAGCCGATATCGCCCAACCCATTATTGGAGCCGATTGTTTAGCGCACTAGACGTTAAAAACAGGAAGCTCATCGACAGCCGGACGACCCTCCCCACCAACGAAGGGTAGCAAATCAAAAGATCGACAACATCACTGTACCACGTCTAGGACAAACAAGTACCATGAGCTGCTGAAAGAATTTCCACATCTTACGAAACCGGCAGGTATTCTAAACGAAGCTAAATACGGCACCACACACCACATCCGAACGACGGAAGGTCCTCCAGTCGAAAGGAATTCCAGCTAATGTTACAGCTTGGGATAGCCAGACCTTCAGCCGGTCCCCGGACTTCCTCGCTACACTTGGTTCCTATGAAATCGACGGATTGGTGACCGTGTGGAGACCATTGATACCTAAGCGCGAGAACGATTCCTGACAAATACCTATCAGTTTTGCACATAAAGGATTTTCCGCAAGAACTGGCTAACAAGAGTATTTTTTCCATAATCGGTTCATAGTTCATAATAGTTCATATTATGAACTAGAAAGCCAAAAATACAAAAGAATTGGGATCTTTTCAATATTCATATTTCTCAATCTATTTTTTAAGATTTAAGATAAGTAACCCTTTTTCGACGAAAATATTATTCTCTGGTTTAGTCTCAGATTTTGTTCTGTTGACGAAAAGTGTTTTTAGTGGTTTTTTAATTTTATTTTTATTTTAAAATAAAGCTCGATTTGTAAAAAATGTGCGACGCTTCATAAGCTTTTCCTGTTAGTTACGTAGGTTCTTTTGTTACTACTTTACCATAGGCGTATGGCGTTACCATACCCATACGCTTGATTTTATATTTCATTTTTAGTTTACACCAGCAGTGCATCCATTACATGCCCTTGTAACTCCCGAGTCCGTATTTCGGGGAACACACAGAACACCGCTAGCTATACGGCGCGGGATTTGGCTATGTGAGTGGTACCAATTTGGGGTCTAAAAAATCTGGAGGCGACGGTATAGCTCATGGCACAAAATATGTGTGGTAGGTAATTCGAATTCGACTCATTAAATGATTGTAATCTGGTTATTATTGCATTTGGTCAGTACTACTACTACTAAAGTACTAGGTTAGTTAGGACATAGACTAATAGGGAATACCTTTCCACCCATTCAAGTTTATTAAGTCAAACCAATTGCAAAAACAATAAACGCTGCAATACTTTAGTTAAATAGAAAACAATATATAAGTGGCTATAAAAATTCCAATGGTAAAGTTATAC